CGGCCGGTCCGCCTGCCGCTCTTCCTGAGTTGTCAGTCCCAGCTGCCAACAACCGTGGTCTCGCCCTGCACCCGCCAGAACTGGGGTTCATTCCTTCCCTCCCCAGATCCGCCCAACCAGCCAGCCAAACAGCCCCGCCCCTCCCCTCCCCTCCCCTGAAATACCCCTCAGATTCAGCCCATCCTCCCCATTTCTATTACCCTCCTGTGGGCCCTTATCATCTCTTTCCTGGGCTTCCATGCTCCCTCCCCATCTGACTTCCTTCTTCCAGGCCTGTGCTTTTCAAAGTCCCCCCAACCTCCGCCCAGCTGCCCAAGTCACACATGTAAGTGTAAGTCTAACAGCATCACTCCTGGCTCACCCCCGGGAGGCTCCCTGTACCAGGTGAGGAGGCCTCAACACAGCACTGCACGGCGTCCTTGTCCCTCCCCACCTGGCCTTGCCGACCTGTCCGGCTTCATCTCCTCCCATTTCTGGACTCATTACAGAGGTGGCGCAACTGTTTGCGGTTTCCCAAGCATCCTGTGCTGTCCCTCCCTGACACCTTTGTTTATGCTCCTTGCTTAGCTCGGAATGCCCACTCCTGACCCCCTTCGGCCTCCCTTCATCTTGGCCATCTCCTCACCATCACGTGAGACTCACACAAAGACCTAAGGAAGGAACGTGGGATACAGACGTCCTGAGACTATGAAGATTGACAACTATGAGCCCTGGGCCCAGTCATCACGTCATTTACAAGGGAAAGCACCAGGATGACGATCGCCAGTTAGTTTAATTCAGTGGTATAAGTAACCCATCTAGAGTTTTTCTGAATATAACATTTACAATCCTGCATAGCCACTGGAGGAGTGAAAAGGATCAAGGGAAAACTCACACTGAGGCTGCATCATGACTGGTTGCCCAACAACAAGACATATGAAAGGTACCGAGTAGGTACTAAAAATTCAGAATCCTCTGTCGTCATAAAACATCTACTAACAATTTTAATTAACTTTAGACTTCACAGTAAATCAGCTTAGTATTTTACCCTCCTTTTAGACTTGGGAACAATCTAATCAATTTCATGCGCAGGCAGCAGAATGACAATGAGGTTTTGTCTCTCATAAAGGCTGCCTTTTCATTGCCAGGGTCATACCTAGCATTTCAGAGCAAGTCTGAGTTCATTTAGACGGTGCAGAGAAAACTACATCGAAATTCGTCACTACACATTTAAGTCAGCAGATTGCAGGCTGTCCTGTACGCAGGACAAGAGCAAACTTTGAGTTTGCAGTGCTAAGGACGCACAATAGAGCAAATTCTCGACATCCAACTGGTCTCGACCGAACAGGTGAATCAGAATTATCTGTGGTATGAGGGAGAAGCATTAGGCAGAAGTGACACATTAAAGACCGTATAAGTCACTAGTCACCCAAATTTATGAGAGACACTATTGAGAAAATTGAGAGTCAGACTTAGCTTTCGCTCAGAGCTTTCGCCTTATCTTTGTGGCATAAGCCAAGAATCAGAGAAAGCCAGTGGGGGGAGACACGCGGGGCTTAGGATTTGGAAAATGAATTGTGAACATTCTAAATTTATGACAAAGTAAGGCTTGGTGCTCATCAAAGAAGTTTGAAAAAGGGAAGTATTCTGAAAAGCAAGCAGAAGAAAAGCTTTCAAAAGGCCTTCCTCTATGAAATTAGGACTTACTTAAAAAGAATGTTAGCCAAAAGTACATGCATGAGCGCTACAATGAAAATAAATTCAGCTTCATTTCAATTCAGTTATTCATTAACTTATCCAACAATTATTTATTGAACGCTAATGTGGCAACAACTGGGAGAAATGGAATTCCAAAGACAAAGATAAGATATCCTTGAGACACTTCCTCATTAGCCAATCTCTGTTTTCCAAGGGGATGGTGGGGAGGTGCCATGAATAACAGAATTCGATAAACATATCTAGTCAGGAATGGGGATCTTTTCAAGCCTCTTTCCTTTGCTAACTGTCATTTGGAGATAAGCCCTTGCTTACAGGATAAAGGAACACAAAATACACGTAGACATGTGTCCAAAGGACATGGGATACTCTCAGTTTTAAATAGCCTTTCCCATTTGCTCTCAGTGTCAAATCATGTAGCCAATTTGACTAGAGAAATATAGCTAGGTTGGCGGGCACGGACAGGGGACATCTAGTGACCTCCCGGGTTCTCTCAGAGGAAGGACAGGGAATGGTGAATTACAGGCTCCTTTAAGCAACAGTGAACTCAAGGATCATGAAGACAAAGCGATGGCTCCGCATTTCTTTGAGAAGAACCGCAGGAAGACAGGAGAGGACAGAGCAAAGAAAACCAGAGGCTACCTTCAGGAGGGGAGCTCTGCAGAGACATTTCTTGGGATTCGGTAGGAAGTGAAAATGTGACAGAGTAGAGAGAGAAAGAAGGAAGCTCATCCTGACCTTTACTTGAGGGTCAGGATAACTGACAGAAAGACTTGCGCCAATACCAGATTCTTCATTTTGGAGCTCTAAGCAGCCCTGGTGCAATTTATTTTTTTCTTTCTTTCAGAGAACAAACCATGTCATTCCCGGGGAATGGTCTTGGATATCTCTCAGGGTAAACTGGTGGTCACTGTACCGCAAGTCGATGGACAGGTCTGTTCATATGTAGTCCTAAAAGTATTCCCTCAAGTAAAGGACCATTCCATGGAATGTGCCACAGTTCTACATAAATGATATTTACATAGGATGACTCTTCTTTGGGATCCGGTGCAAGGCACAGTTGGCTATTTTGAGTCAGAAAATCTGGATCTGGATTCGCTTCTGCCACTGGCTGATTGTGAAATTTGGGTCAAGCCGTTTGAACCTCTCTGAACCTGCATTTTCTCATCCATCTTCTACACAGAGCTTTTCGGAAGATTAAATGACCCCAAATGCATTAAAGTGCTCTGAAAATGGCGAAATGATATACAAATGATAGTTCCCAGTACTCTTCACCAGCACTCTTTGGCCTGGTTGTCAGGGTGTGGAGGCCAAGTGCAGTAATAGTAACCGAGACAGAACTCTTGACCAATGAAATGGAAAGATATATTACACAATGGACAGTCACACAGTACAGAAATATTTTTATTCCTGGGTAACATCAAATTCTAGTCATAATGCCAATACCAACTTTTTCTTCCTATTTGACTTTGGCCCCTAAAATAATTAAAGACTTAACATAAATGAATACTAATGATACTCAATCAAGTAGAGGGAAAGGTTTTATCTACCATGATGTTCATTGCCAGTCTTACAAATAAGGCCCAAACCCACAGAATGTTCAGTATTACCTCCTGAATGGTATGTGTGTGGCATCCCCTCTGTATTCTTAACTCAGGCTTTTACCAAACATTTCTGGAGAACCCATTAAATAGTCACACTGTGCTGGGTACCACAGGGGACATTAAGAGGATGAAAACACAGGCCTTATTCCAAAGGCATTCACTATCTCCATTAGAGGGAAGCATTGGGAACAAGTGATAAAAAAGCAAACTGAAACACAGGTCTCTGAGAAAGGTCCAAAGTATTCTGAGAATCTAGACAAATGATAGATTACTTCCAAATGCCGGGATCTAACAGGGCTCTGTGGGGAAAATCACTCTGAGCAAGGGCATGGAGGATGGGAAGGACTCCTTTGCCAGATATGGCAGTGGAGCGATGGGGGTTAGTAGCTAGGCTGAGACGCAAGCTTGAGCTCGACCCGGAAAGTGGATGAGAGCAGGATGCATTCAGAAACAGCAGCCACAACAGCATGGCCAGAATACAGGTACAAAAGAAGATGAAGTTGTAAAAAAAAGCAGGTCGAGAGAAAACTGTGGAAGGTTTAAAACGCCCAGCTGAGAAGCTAGGTTTTTTTTAAAAGATGTAGAAATCCAGTGAAGGAACAATGCCATGCTGGGTCTTGAGTTCTGGAGAGATGCACAACCACAGTCAGTATGGAGGATTTACTGGAGGGGCGAGAAAGAGACAAAGGGAAGCCGACCAGATAAGGAGCTCTGGCCATAGGTCAGAGGTACTGAGAGCTAGAAAAGAGGCCAGTGGCAGGAGAAAGCAATGGATGAATGGCAATTTGCCTTTTCATCTTGAGGTGACATACTCCCCGAGGGCACTGGTTCTCAGACATACTGTGTCGCCTCGATTATGAGGTCCTTGTGCCTTGGGCTAAACCAAAGAGATGAAAGTACTCAAGTCCCACAGATTTGAGCATTTGCTCTTTAAAGCCTCGCCTGGTGGCATCTGTCTAAGGAAGGCACACTGAGTTAGAAGTGATCATGTGCAAAAGCCTGTCTTAACCAAGGGACCTGTGATATAATAAATGTAATATAAAAGTAAAAGCCCAATGATTTGCATTATCCTGACATCACACAATGTGCCAGACTTTTACATCTTTGTCCTCTGTGCAGTCATTAGGAAATTTTCTTTTACTTTTATAATTTCTGCTCTTTTTCCATGGACATGTTTTTCAGGTGATGACTGACAACTGGAATTGTCTCACTAACCTGCTAGGACAGTGTGCATAAATGACCGCTGTATTTGATGATGGAAACTAAGATGAACTAGTTCATTCCCAAATAGGGCCAATGAGCCTACTTGCTTAAATGCTTTGAGATAGATAACATGGCCAAACACATGTACAAATCATATCATCATAAAATTAAATGACCTACTTTGTTCTTAAATTCTCTTCTCAAACATAAAATCAAAGCCTCTGAAACGCATGCAACAAATCAAATACCACCATCAGCATTCATTCCTTTAACACCTACTATATGAGTTCTTACTTATGCTATTGCATTCATTTTCTTCTTTCGGATGACAAAAAAAAAAAAAGAATCTGTAAATGGAGCTAAACAGATTATTGGAGAAAACAATTAGACATAAAATGACTCTAAGTGAAGATTCCTGGCACTTTTCTGTGTGCGCAAGTGTATGCACTCTGCATACCAATGACAAAGCTAGAAAGAAAACTCACCTGTTTTCTTCCTCAAGATCTGCTAGGATTCTCTCTAGCTCCCCTCTTTCCTCACTCTCTAAGGAAATCAAGATCTGGGCAGGACTACGAGGCTGGCTCAGGGGGGAGTCCTGGTTCAAACTTTGGCAGTAATGCTGGATTAACAAATGTTCATCATCTCTGGAAAATAAAATCAAAGGTTTTGGTTTTTTCCCCCCTTATTTTGCCTTGGGGGTCAGGGACTTGGGTGTGTATTTTAAAAATAGAAACAGTTATTTGCTCTTAACAATTCATTAGACCCTTTTTCCTGCTTTTAAAGACATTTCGATACTCCTGAAGTTGTGGTCTACCGTCCTGTTGGTGACAATTCCAAGTGTTTCTTGCTCAGATTTTCCACTGAATCTGGTTGGCCTATTTACATGGGTAAATGAATGGTAGAATGACAGTAATACTGGGACTTGACAGTTTAATCAATCGTTAGTAAATATTAAGAGACGTAATAATGGCTGTATAATGCTTTTGCTACCAAGCCTGTCAAGACAATCTGTTCACTCACCCACTGTGTTGTTGATACTGACCAGGAAAAAACCGAAGCCCTTAAAATAACAGAGTAAATGTTTTCTTAAGTGGAAAGCAATGCAACTGAAAAGTGTTGCTTTGGTAAGCCAGTTTCAACTTATAAACCCCACAGAGGCAGGATGGTAACAATAATGCAACTACAGATAAAAATGACTACTATTTCATTCAATTATTGTTTAGACAGAAAAACAAAAATTGGCAGGGGAAAAAAAAAAAGCCATTAAGGTGACTAATACAAGAGGACTGAACAACTCATTCCTCAGAGCAGCTTTTAAAGACTAACCTTGGGGAACAAAGAGGCCAAAGGCTTATACGTTGGGAGGAGGCTGCAATCTTTCCTCATATCTAGGAAGTCTCTCATACACAGAAGAAATTAATTTCTAAATGCATCGCCCCCAGCTCCTGAAAAGCCTGTGTACCTCCGAGTTATAAGAACTTCATTCTGTCCTTAGTGATAGGCTAAAGCCCTTTGCTTCCGGCTACATATCAGTAAGATGATATGTTAATATTTCCCTCTCCACACCCCTTTAATTTCCTTTTCTCATCTCTGTGTCCTCTGAGTCGAAAAAATTTCAGATACTTAGGGGAAAACAATCCTCCTAATTTAAATGATCTTGGTCCATCAAGTAAGATAACTGGTTGGTAAGTTAAAATTAAAATAATTATTGGGTGTTAAAAACAAACATTTAAGTGAAGTCAACCCATCTTCCAAACCACTTCCCCAGGTCTGCCCCTAAGATATCACGATATCACCATCCAACATTGAGCCAAAATGGATTTTATGCCCTCAGAATAAGCTAAAGCTAAATTTCGTTTAAAAATAAAACAAAAGCGGTTTTGACCACCTAATTTGTTAGCTCTCTTCCCAAATTCTGCAGTTTGATTGCTAGGACTTCCCATGTTTAATTACAACATATAGTTATAATTCAACTTCTCTTACTGTTTTCTGAGGCAGTCAATGAATGGCAGCCATTGTTATACAGGTACAACTTGAATTACTGTGAATGTGCTAGAGCTTCTAATATTCAAATCAGTGACCCCAAGCAGCAAATCATTCAGGTTGTTTACATTTCGTTGATTCTTTGCTTACACAGTTTTCTGTCAAAGTAGTTTATATATTAATACTATTAATACTTTTTTTCCACGGCTAAGAAACAGAGTGCACCATCGTTACGTTTGGGGGAAGAGGCTGTTTTGTTTTCTTTTAAGTAACTTAAGTCGTATATGAATGGCTGAGTGTTGACTTTACTCTTTATTTTTACCTTGATCACCTTTATGTACCAGATGAGATGACTTATTCTCACGTCTTCAATAACCAGTTATGTATAAATGCCACTTGGATACTGCTTCCTTCAGTCGAATCCTTATAAAGCCTGTTTCTCATCCGAGTGTGACTTTGGGTTGCCACACCAGCTACATATGATAAACTTACCATTTTCCCTTTGCCTAGATTCTCTGACAAAGTGGTGAGCCAACCGTAACTTATCAAACTAAAAGCATTATTGTACCTTGACTAGATTTCATCTCCCTAAAGTATCTATTCAGTTAGCAGATCCTTATTTTGTCCTCCATGTTTGCTTCTCAGGCTTCTCCCTCCACCTCAGCCTCTTGGTTCATGGCAAGATTCCTTACTGTGAATACTTCCCCTACTCTGTAATGAAGCCTCTGTTTCCCTGCCATAGCTGTGTTCTCCGCCACTCTGAGCGCCGCTCTCTCGCTTTCCTTAAATTTGACAGGCCTGGCTTATCGTCCCACTACAAAACCGTGACCTCAATTTGTACTTCTTCTGAAACCCTTCACAAGATAGCCTCACTTGACTTAGCTCTTGAAGACGCTAAATCACAAAAATCTACTAGGTAGGATCTCTAAAGGAAAATGCCCATCTAGCCTACCAAATGGGAATGCCAATGCAACTACACCAAGATTATAGCTCTACTCCCCACGAGTGGAGAAAACACTACTTAGCCATCACTTTAAAAATTAATACCTAATCCCTTTAAACATCCTGCACGTTTGGTCAAAGCTTCAACATTTAATTACAGTTTAAGTATTTGGGACCCTGCAATTTGTGGTAGTATGGCATTAAATAAGAGTAAGGCAAAATGTTTTGGAACATTTTGGAACATCTGGAATACCAATAATGCCACAATTTGGATGAGCTCATTCTGTGTCGGGTTGTCAAGAGTTAAAGAAAAAAAAAAGTAAATGAAAGTCTCCTTGAAAGATCAAACGAATATAAACGCTAATTCCTATCTTCTGCGCTACCCTACCTCTAAATCCCTCAAAGCAATTTCATGGTCAGGAACATTTTGTAAAAAGAGACAGGATACTTACATGCTCTCATTAGGAGAGATGCTATCATTTAGATAAGATCCATTGCTGTTTTCCATTTCTGCTAGCCTGATAAAAAACGTAAAAGCTCATTAAAACTTATGTGACTTCTTAGAATCTATTCAAGACCTAATCGAACATTCCTGAAAACTAAAGGATAAATCATGTCAAGAGGAGAAAGGAATCCTTCATATTAAAGGATGTGTGTGTTGGCCTAACCGTCTGAGGCAGTGAGTGGTGGACCACAGCTAGTTAAGTAGCTTTACATTTACGCTGCAGATTACAAGAGAAGTCGTATTTTTTTTCCTTCACAGATTGATCTTCCTTTCACTGAGAAGAGGCCTTTGTTTTCACGAGAAAAGCTTCCCTAACAACAAATACACTCCGTACTTTACGCTATCCCATGTGTTTTTTAAGACAATTAAAGATTTCCACTGAAGACAGAATTATATATAGCTAGTTAATACTTCCTACGGTTGATAAACATGTTCAGCAGTTAGACTATTGATAAAAGATAGATTCACAGTAAGCTCTCTATACATTCTGCCACTTTTTACCTTCAAACACCTCCTTCACCTCAAACAATAATAAAGTCTTTTTACAACTTAAAAGTGAACACAAACTCTGACGGATTTATTTAACAAGCATATCTTACAATCAGCAATTTCGTTTTTAGATATAAAAGTTACCTCAAACACAAAGGAAGTGGGACAGAAAGGTCCAGGGATTAGGAAAATGAGTGATTCTCTTCTTTACAGCACAGTATGGAAAATGCACACAGAAATGGAAAGCCAGTGCTTTCATAGTCTCCATATAACACAGTATAATTTCTTCATGTACTTATGTCTGGTCTAGCAGTTTTCTAAGAAGGTTAGAAGATTTCTAAGTCAATTGATTAAACGTGCTCAGTATATAAAACATAACAAAGCTATCAGGAATGTTTAAAGGCCTGGATTAGGGGAGACTGTTCTGCGCTGATGCTCTTATCGGTGTCCAAAAACAACATGCAGTGGAACGGCATGCACGTTAGAGGGCAAGCTGATTAGTAGAAATCAGACAAGATTGGGGGAAAAGAAAAGATTTGTTTAAAATTAATATAGGTTAGCTTTCCTTGGTTAGTTATTTCAATCAATATTTGCCTGGCATTCAACTAGTCTCATACCTGCTAGCATAATGTTCAATGCGTGAATGAGTATCATCGTGTGAAAGCTGAGGGGACGAGGCAGGCCTATAAGGCAGAAAATGTTATTAGTCACAGATACCATCCATTAATGGAGAAAAAAACCCCACCACACAGTTATATTATATACATGGCCTAGAATGCTTTTACTCTAATACTATGGCTAATGTACACATTTAGCTGTTCCTGTATCTTAGATATCATCAAGTATTTAGAATCCAGGTTTGAGAGATGATTTCTCATACTTCGGCTTTTCTCAAAAGCCATAAAGAGAGATCAAAAACTTCTCTGGAAAGTTTCAATTACAGAAAAGGTCGGGGGAGACAATCTCTGCGTGACATTTTGTCCTCCTGTCTTGTAATGTCTCATATCCTAGAGTTCTGAAATTGTGTTAGCAGTATGTGGTTTAAAAGTTTAAACAGTTTACACCGGTGCCGTTTATTAGCTGCCTTCTTACTGAATGGAAACTGTACATTTGCCTAGTAAATTTGCAGTTAACGATATTAGTTCCAAAGAGCCCACACCAGTCCATGACTGCTCAAGATTCCACGTATCGAGATGTCTTGGCTTGTGCAATTTTGTAAAGAAGGAATACACCTACCAATTTAGCAGCAGGACTATATAACTACTTCATAAAGCAAAACTGGATGGCCCTAAATTATAATGTGATGTTTTAAAAAGAATGACTAACTTCAGTATGACGTCACATCGGAAATATTTCTTATTAGGGATACTGTGTGCTAATACACAGAGGGGAAAGCAAGAGAGGAGGATTAGCAGGTATAGTCTATTTACTTTGGGGGTATAAAAACCTACTTTTTTTTGGCTTCACAGACGAGAATTTTGGTAGGGTTGACATGTTTTCACCTTTTCATATCTGATCTATGAATTATCCTTGAAGTTTTTATAGTATCTTTTAGATTAATCTTAGGGAAAAAAATCCATCTGTTCTGAAAACCAGTTTGGGCTTGGGCTTTTTTGTTTTAACTGGAATAGGACAAAAGGTCGCTTCCATTTCTCTCCTGACACAGAGAGCCCTTAGGTAAAGGCATGAATCCAAAAGTCAACAGAAACCTACTCAGTAAGGATTAGTTTAGTCCAATGTCTAAGCAGCAGTCAATGACTTGGTCAGGACACTAAGAAGAATATGTCTGTTTTTTCTTACATTAAAAAAAAAAAAAAAGAAAGAAAGAAAAATGTGTCGTTACCTAGGCTTACATAGGAAATGTGCTAGAAATCTATACTTCTTAAGGAAGACACACAATCATAAGATGATTACAGCACACTACAGCAAATAACCAGGGAACTGAAGTCTTGCCTGAGAGATAAATGTCTTATTTATGAAACCAAAGTTGTCCAGGTCAAGTGTCACCATAATCAAATTTGGAATGAATTACGAAGATGCTTAAACTGTCATGAGGAAACAAAAGGATGACTACCCAGTGTACTAGGCAGATCCAAAGATTTCCAGGTGAATCTTCATTCTAGTTTTGGAGATAATCTGCTAATTTCTTAGAACCCTGGAACAGCCCATTATTAGAAAAAATGCTAAGGTTTGTTTTGAAATATTCACTGCAGGTCAAGATAACTGAGTACCTGGATTACTTAGTTTATAAGCCCTATCTTCTGGAACAGACCAGTCTTTCGATTACATACTTCTTATAAGCTAAAAGCCCACCATCGAGGAGAATATATTAGTGTTTCCCCTTGTAACAGTTGCTACCTTGGTAGTGTAGAGAAGAAAACATGAGACCTTGGAGCATAACTACACCGAGAAAGCTAGGCGTGTAAATGCAACGTACTTTAATAAAATCTTAAACAGAAAATCTTATGCAGAGCTTTAATTCTTAGCCTTGAGGATACGTCCATGTTATTCTTCTTACTAATGTACCCAGCACCCAAGACAGCATGCATAAGCTCAAGAACTCGTAATAACCAAGCAATCTAAAAAATATAGATATACACTAACGGAGGTACTTATTAAACCAGAAAATGAGCCAAAAGGGAATACTGGTCAGAGAAGAATCATTTAAAAAGCAAGAATTAGTAAGAGTACAAGACTACATAGTCCAGAAACAAAACTAAATGCAAAGTCTTCTAAAATGCTTTTCCAAGAGAAGGTAAGAATACTGTTCTCCCTTCTCACTTCCTAAATACAAAATGATACACCCCCAAAAGGATTATTCCTACTATTCACATTACTGCTAATGGCCAATTCCATCCCACCCACCACCATTTTCTCTCTTGTGACAACTCCATTAATAAGTTTTCAAAGCAGAATAGCTCAAAGAATATTGTTTGACTGCCTCATTTGTGGACAAACAATATAAAAGGTTTATGCTGGGTTTACTTTCAAATAAAATGACAAATGCAGGCAAATAAGGGGGTTTTTTCCCAAGGAAAAACAAAAGATCTGTATCTCAGTAAACTTTCAAATTCTGTGATCCATACTGAATGGATTCAATGCTGTCATCGTCACAGGATTTGTTAACATTGGATAGCCTTCTCGCAAAATAAAACACCTTAGGACCTGGCTCTTCTGCGTGAATAGAATAGCTTTACAATTCATTTCATAAATTATTTACCATCCCATGAGTAAAGACTTTAATAAAATTACTGGTATTACAGGGACTTAGCCTGCTGGGGTTGTTTTCTTCCTCAAAGTTAGAATTTCCCACTATTTCTGAATAATCTAGCATACTTTTTAATAAAAAGGCTAAGTGGGGCTAGGTTTCAGTTGTTAGAGAAGATATTTTTAAAAACAATGTTATTAATTTTCAAGTTCTTCAAAATTTAAGAAAGACAAACACCCTCTATTTAAAATAAGCTATATTAAACTGTCACGAAGTTTTCTCATCAGCTTATGTATACAGTAAGCTTCTTCCTCTAGTTAAGTTATTCTTTATTATGTGCTGCTGCCTCTATGTGTTTTAAAACATTAAACTTTAGCATCTTTTTCTTTTGGATTTGTCAGTTGGTTAGATTTACTTTGTGTTGGAATCACAGTTCTATTTGCTTATCAGGATCCAATCAAGCTGAGAATTTCAGTATACCAATTAAACTCTTTTTCTTTTAATTTATGAAAGGCTTTACCTTCTATAAACAAATAGACTACCTGGAATAGGGAAAATAAGTACCAACAGCAAGGAACATAACTGAATCTAAATGACTCCCCAAGTTGTTTAAGCATGACGATTAAAGAAATCGGGTATAGCTACCATATCTCAAAATTAAAGGGCACAATAATGCAGCTTTACAAAAGAAAGGAAAGTGTTACACTTCCTTTAGGCCATAAAAGACGTAAAAACAACTTCAGTTAATAGTTTGCATTTATCACTACAGGATTTTTTTTTTTTTTTTTAAAAAGACCTACTTTACATTAAATTACATGGTGGAATAAAAAAGACCCAATAAAAATAAACTGAATTCTTATATAAGCCCGTCTTCCAAATTGGTCATAACCTTCTTATATATAATAGAGCTGTCTGACTTTAAATAAATATTTTAATAAAGTACACTTTGAAATACCAAAATTTTGTTCTAAAAACCCCACACAGTATAACTTTAAAACAATGCACACTTTGTTTGCTGATATTTAAATCACGGACTCCAAAAGGAGTTTTCTGATGACATTATAAACTCTGAGATAAATCAATTATCTGTTAATATCTAGTATTAGTAGTATTAATAATACACACCAATAATAATAACAAAGACTACAGTACACTTTCCTTCCGGTGTAAATGTGTGTTTATGAGCTGGGTATTTAGCTTGGAGAAGAGAGCAAAGTGAGTTTAGGTCAAAATTGAGAAACTCATGTATATAAACACTGGTCAAATAGCATGGCATTACCTGATAAAAAGTCCACGTGTCTAACTGAAATTATTCAACCATACTCAACATCATACCATGAAAGAAATTTTGATTTTAAATAGTCCACTTATAACAGGCCCTAAAGAGTAAACCATCATCCTTTTGAAGGTCCTAAAGCATTGAATCTCTAGAAATATGGCTAAAGAATGTTCTTATGTAATCAGAAGGCTCTTCCCTGCTTATAATGAAAGAATATATAAACGTGTCTCCCAGGAATATAACTAACCACCCAACAATTCCTTTGATGTTAATTTGAACTCCAGGCCAGGATTTCTGCTGGTTTACATTTGACCAAGTGGGGACCTGAAAACCTCACTGATTCTCCTGACCTGTGGTGGATGGCACCCTCAAAGTCTTATCAAGGGAAAAATTTTTGAAATGAAGGAAGGGAAATTAAAACGTCTTTCAACAAAACAAACAGAACAAAAGTTTTAAAAAATCAAGCAAGCCAATGTGTTGGTGGTAGCAGCACCCTTCAGTGGAAGTACTCACGCAGAATCTACCGGCCAGAAGTTGATCAGAGTAACAGGACTGCAAAACAAAAAATGAGGTGGTGAAGAGAGACACAGGCAAACTCAGCCACACACAGACACACACAAAAGTTACTGAAAGGTCAAAATAAATGAAGTGCAATTAAGTATGAACCATGGAAAGCAACGGCCAGACAAAGGTGAAAAGTGAATTAAAAGAAAACCAGTTGTGCGACTGCCATCAGACTTATGGAGAAAAGAAGAGCAGGTTCAAAAGAGGTGAAGACAGCATCATTTTGATCTAGAGAATCATAACTACTTACTGTGAAGAAACTTCCTGTGACTATATTTTTTTTCAGGTTGAAAAAAAGTGACTAGATACGACCACACAATCGGATGCAAAAAGACACACGCCTACTGATTTGTGAGGGAGGAAAATCAAAATGAAATCTTGGAATCACTCATTTGTAAACAGTCCCATATTTCTTGCAAGCCTTGTGAGGTAATTAGGAGCCGGAACGCGGTGGTTTACTCCCTGTGAGATAAAGTTTAACTTTTGGAAAAGGTCATTGTCATGGGACAACTGACATGGAAAATGGCGACTGAACATCAGCTTGCTTTTCTCTTTTTAGATACAGTAAATCTAAAGAAAGAAACAGGAGAGACTGTTTGCATTTGGGAGTGAAGGAGGAAGGTATTCAGCTGAGAGGAGCTCAGAGATAACGTCGACTGAGAGGCTGGTTTGCTTTGGCCACTACTCACGTTTCCATGTTGTCCCCCTCTAAGACCGTCTGCACTGGCAGGTAGCCCATTCGGGGATGCTTCGCAAAATACCTTTTGGTTCGAAATTTGTTTTTCAGTACCTTGGCAAAGTCTCGAACATCTTCTCCCGATGTAGTCTGAAAGGGAAATCATGCTGACATCAGACTTGGGGAAGGGGTATAATCTCAAGAGAAAGCACAATTCCAGTGTTCTGCCTCGGAGCACTTGTTTTATTATAACTAAGAGCAGTAGGACTTGAGAGCAAAGGCTTTGGAATCACATGAAAACACGGTTTTGAAACCAGACCTGCCATTTACTAGTGGGGTTAACGTGGGTGAGTTATTCACCTATCCAAGGCTCCAATCACCTATAAAATCGGGGCAGTAACACCTCAACAAGTTGTGATGATGAATAAATGAAGTATACCAACTACTGGGCTACCCAACAAATGGTAATTTGTAGAAGCCTGCAGGTCAGAAAGTTGACCTTCCGTTTTGCCACACTTTACAGTAGTTTTAAAACGATTTTGTCCACAGTGCTCTAGTGTTTCACCCACTAAATACCATTCTATTCACAGCATGGTACATTCTCCATCAGTGAGTACCTTTGCAAAAGGGATCAAAATGAGGAAGACAATGAAATAACTGGGAGAATCACTCTGAAGATGGAAGAGAGAAAAGCTCTAAAGCAGAGCTTCCCAAACTTTGATGTGTTGGATACCACCAGCAGACCTTGCTAAAACGCAGGCTTTGATTTACAAAGTCCAAGGTGGGCCCTGAGGTTCTGCATCCCTAATAAGCTTCCAGGTGATGCCAGTGCGGCTGGTCCACAGATCATCACACTTTGAATAGCAAGCAGCTAGTGTTTAAGGAATAAAAGATTTACACCCAGGTCTGTGTCCACCAAGTCCAGGCCCTTTCCGTTTCACCAGTGAGTTTTCAAAGTCCTATTGGCCACTGAGCATTTTCCCAAAACAACATCTTAGGACAAGACTCCAGCTCTTAATTATAGAACCTTGGGCGAGCTTTTTTAACCTTAGGATCTCAAGAGTCCTCAACTATAAAAAAGGGGATAAAAGTAATACCTATCTCACACAGAGTAGTTTAAAAGGTAAACGCCTAGCACTTAGTGGTGGATTGCGAACTTTAAGGAACCTATATTACCCCACCCCATACCCAACGTGCCCCATGGCCGTAACACCTCTGCACACAGCCGCTAGGGATGTGCAAAATAAACGTGAAAATGTCTTCCCTACAACCCACGAAAACAGAAGAAAAACCTATTGATTCACCCAACAATATGTGCTGAGTGTCTCCGACAGTCCACATGTGCCAGGCATCGCACTAGGGATGAGGTAAATCCCGGAGTCTACAATTTGGAGCCACTTTAGCTGGGCAACATCTGGGGAACTTAGAAATCACAGCGTGACACATGATCTGTTAAGACTGTACAAAACTGAAACTTCTTCCAGGTGAACTAAGTTACGTCAGGGAGGAATCTAACTTACCGGAGTGCAATATTCCACCATGGGATAGTGCATTTTGTGGCCTTTTGCCACACGACCAGAAAAAAAGCAACTTTGGCAGATGTCATAATTAAAGTGCTTTAGACTCCTGTACCTGGTAAAGAACAAAAACAAACATATATGTATTTCTTCAAACCAAATTCCCACAGAACACCCTTTAATAAACCTCCTTCCGCACTGTCTTAATTCTGGAAACAGAATGCAGGGTTCATTAATCCCCCAAGGTAAGTGATTAACTTCCTACTTCCAGATTTCTCTGGTGCTTCTCCTACAGTATCAAAATATTTTGGCAGAAAGATTACCCTATAAACATTTGGAGGGAGGGGAGAAAAACTCAGCTCTTATTTAAACTCCACTAGGAACTCTTTCAGATTAAGTAGGAAGATAGTGGCAACCTTCCAGGCTTTTGAAGACCAGATACTAGAATTTGAAAGAACTTCCAGAAAGGACAGATTGATGCACTGCGGGCTCCCGTACCCATCAAAAAGGCACAAAAGTTTTCTGAGGGAACTATTTTCAAAAAAAAGTTATAAAGATAAAGCATTTCATAAGACAAAAGAAAATTAAACAAGAACTCTCAATTAAACCAAATCTTGCTTTAATTACATTTTCTGATTGACGGAGATGACTCATCTTCAGATTGTTACTTGGATAATCTCTCTTATCTGTCTCACTTCAGAAATCCCTCATCACATTGCCTCCACATGATAATGGAAGCCCCAAGAAAAGACACATTTGGGGTGAGATGTTAAGTACTACATGGTACATTTCCCCCCACCCCCACCCCCATTCTCAGAATACTGTATTCTTCGTTTCATACCCTCCCTGGCTTTTGCTTTCTCAGATAAGAATCTTAGCCAATTAAAATAAACATATTCCTTATGTCACATATGGGAATGTGGGAAAAAAAAAGCTACTGTTTTTAGATCCCAACCATCTTCTGAGAGTGGGGGAAAGGAGGAAAGAGAAGTGTTCATTCCTAAAATAATCTACTTTCATAAGGGCAAAAGAACTGAATGTGAAAATGCTCTCCTTGATCCTCCAAAGCATTTTCCTTTTTCATTTTATAAAACTTCCCCCAGGATACAAATCTTACCAGCGAAGGAAGCTAAGAAAAGAAAGGTAAGAAATGCAGTGGAGCCCTGCCCCCCGCCCCCCACCCCCCAGCATCACTCTTACCTGCCAAAACCAGGAAGGAAAAAAGGTGTCCTGTGCAAGCACTGCCTACTCACTGTTGTCTATCTAGGCTTTAGAAACCTCTGAAGGTTTCTGTAAAACCTCTTTGTAAACAGCATGAAAGTATGGTAGGACAAACACCAACGGTAAAGGAGCACAGTGAATGAAAAGCACACAAATGGTACAAAGCAGATATTAGGAAACACAGTAATGAAACAAGTCTAAGCATAACCAGAAATGAGTGTCTACTTAGCTGATAAGTGGATTCTGAACAGGCACAGATGACATAGCTAGTTTACAACTTGACGGCTTATTCGTTGCTATGGAAACCCTGATGCTGATCCAGATGTTTAAATACACCATCATTTCAGAATCTGGATTTGGGATTATTGTTCAATAATATTAATTCATTTAAAAATATCCTGTCTCCCCAAACAGGTCAACAAGACTGAAGATTTAAGAGCCAGTCGTTCTCTGGGACATTTCAAGAATATCAGAATAATAACCTGCGATGTTTCCTACCACTTTCACTTTTCAATTTATAAGGAACGTTTTCTTTTTTTAGCTGCTTTGTGAATCTTTCATTTACTTGCACACTTTATATTCATTCCCTCAGAAGTTCGTTAGGATACTATGAAAAGAGTGCCATCAGATTCACAGATAAAGAAGTATGTTCTAGGGTGCTCGAAACAATTGTTGTTACCTTAGGGCAAGGACAGCGGTGCAAAGTGATTAAGAGACTGAGTTACCATGACAGGTCTCCCAAAATAGAATCATCCCTTAGTTTTATAACTGATTCTTGGAGAGTTTCTATAAACAGAAAAGACCACGGAAAAAAAGAAAGAGATGACCAAAATGTTTTGGTTCGAGGAAAGAGGAGGTACAGTTAATCTGTATATACCTGATGGACAAATATCTTGGTGGAGACAGGCAGCCCGTCCCGATCGACCAAGAACATGGCTCTGCAGAGCTGAAGAGTGAAGGCTGAGAAGGACGCCTGCCTAATGAGGTAGATCCACTAAAACAACCCAGTGATCAGGGGAGTGACAGGAGTGATCAATGCTCCAGCCTGATCACCTCCTCTCCCACTGTGCAGAGGACCAAACAGCCAGCAACTGGTAGAGGAGATAAACGATCAAGTCGTAAAAAGGTGAGAAATGATCAAACAAAATGACATTTGGGGGCGTTGCTCATACCTGAAGCCGATGATTGGACACTCCTTGCAGATGTTACACTTGGCCTGATGCTTCGCAGTCTCCGCAGCAGCCACTCTATGCAGGACGGGCAGCCATACCATGGACTGGGGTTCCAGTCTCATCCAGTCTAGGAAGAGGGCCGCTTCAATCTCAGGCTTATTATTAGCCTGCAAAGACAGGAGGCCGAAGAATGCAAGGAGAGAAGGTAAGAAAGTAAAGGAGGCAAATGTCAGCTCAGGTAACGCGTTAAAGAAAGAAAGAAAGATCAATAGTGGCACAGTGAGGCCCACTCTTCACAGGCTGTTTCTGCAAATGTCCCCCCAGCATCTACACAAGCCACCTACCCCTAAAGCTTTGGGAAGCTGCTATTACTCTGTTTGGCTACTAGATGACAAGAAAGCAAAGCAAAACAGGCAAACGGAAAAAGTAAAGCAAAATACACACCGGGGAGAGACTATATTTAGCTCCAGTTTTGGAACAGATACATAGAAGTTAGCCAGAAGTAAAATGCAAGCATTTATTGATAAAATTTCAAAGGAGAAAAAGAAAAAAAAAAACAACTCAAGAAACTATTGCTCCCTTTTTTTTCTAGTGAATCTGTTTCTCAGTGTTTCATAGAATCATAATGAAGAGGCTTTACAATTCATCTGGTCCCAAAGCTTCATTTTACAGACAAGACAGCTGAGATGTAGATGAGCGAAGTGGCTTTTTCAAAGGACAGACAACTAACTCCCTGGCAGCAGAGCTGACACTAGCATCCAAACCTCCTGGTCTAGTGCTGTTTTCATGGTGGCCTGCTGCTTTTCTGTCTGTCTGTCTCTAGTTCTCTCTTTCGGAGTCTAAGTTAAATAAATACCATTCTTCCCAGTGAGTACAATGATTTTAGAAAATTCAAAGTATTACTTATCCATCACTTGATTGGTATGTTACCACAGTCGACATTTTAATTAGATGTTGTTTTTAACCCTACAAGACCGTGTTTCGTGTTTTTTTTTTTTTTTTTTTTT